AATAACAGAGCTCGTGTCCTGTTCACGAAAACAGTTTACAAGTGTATTCAATTTGTTTAACTCTGAATACATCACTGAGCACGGACTGACGATACTAATGAAATCTAGGATATATTCCAAGTCTACCAATGTATTGGAGAAAATAATTCATTGTCAATATCCGTGGGATTTATTCCATTCGAACAAATTTGTTGGAGGAAAACTCCCCGTGGACAAAATATCCCACATTTTTTCTCCCATGGGAGAAATTTATGATAGTTGTTGGGACTGAAAACCCTCCATTCTCCCATGTGATTCTGAGTTTTGGGACCTCATATCTATGGGAGTGGAGCTGTTTGTGAGTTCAACATGGGATTAGTGTATACTACTAAGAAAACCCACAAAGTGATATAAAATATGATGGCTATCATAATTAAAAAATTGTTAGCAAAAAGACAGGACAATGTTTTGTCGGCGTTAAATGTCGTACTGTTTAGAACTTTTCAATGTTTTGACTTTCACTTAGCAGACTCTGGAGTGACTACCCCCATTCATACGACATGATTTGCATACCTAAGTATATTTTACACATATGTAAATTTACATGCATCTGCAATTTTGTCGCATGAACTGATTTGCTCACATGCAAATTCTGCTCTGGAGTCAGGATAGGAATATACATTTTATGAATTCCCCAACCACAATTTAGCTCTTAATGACTTTCTTAAACCTTTCTCAGCTTTTAAACCAGGGTAAACTACAGACAGATTAGTTGATTTTACAAAGATTTCAACAATCTTGTTTAAAGTATGATTTTGGTTTTGTTAGTACTTAGTTTTCGTATGACGCACTTTCTCTTTTAGTTATTTCACTTGGCTACCATCAATCGAACATTGTAGCTTTCCCAACACTAGAAACTTCAAAGTTTTTCAGTAATATATTTCGCTGAAGACACCAATCAATAGCCACCTTTTTCTTTACGTCCACTACTCGTCTACAGTCTCAGCTTTTTATGAAAATTTTCATATCAATCTTTGTCCTTTGCGTTTTAGTTCTGTCGTACTGGGTCAATTAGTGAATCATGTTTATCAAACTTTCTTTAAGGAACATTTAAAAGTTAGTCATATTTCCAAATACCCCTGGTAGTAAGAAAATACCCCTTTTCAATGAAAATTTACAATTATGAATCAGTGCATCTCCTTGTGTTTTATGACAATTTAAGGATATACTTATGGTACATAAATCTTGATCGCATTGCAAATTAACCTTTACCTATGTGGTTAATTAACACATGAGTAGATTTGCACACATAAGCAATTTTTCGTCGAATGATTAGGGTATTAGTTTATACCTTTTTTTGTCGTTGGTATCACACATCCAGCAAATCGACTGCATTCCAACTCGGTACATTTACATTGGCGACTGCAATTCAGTCCGTAATATGGATACACACATCCTGAAGATAAGAGACCAGGTAATAATTTGAAAGGCATCCCAAAGTGTGAAAGAATAAACTGAAAATATCAACTTAAACTTTTTCATGAGTTTATCTTCTGGACAACAATACGTAGGAAATTCAACGAACTCCATTGAAGTGGACATTTCGTAAATTTAATTGCCGTTATAATAATCTTGTTAGCAGATAACCTATTAATGCGTCGTATTTGGCTTGTTTTATACCAATTCTAAGACCTTTGTTTTCATACTCAATTTCATTATGGAAAGATCCCTTCTATCTAATCCGTAAATTGGGTGTGACCCATCACAGGGGATGCTTACTTCCTCTATACACCCCGGTTCTTCCAAGGGTCCGTTTTTTGTGCTATCAACACATACTTGTAAAGTTATAAATAGAAAAAAAAAACAATCACTGTTCATTATCTTCACCAGTTATATGATAAATATTCCATTATGCTCTAGATATGGAGGGAACAATGTTTTACCTGAAAAAAAATCATAAATATTTTAGCACTAACAGAGAAAAAATACATACCAATGCAGGTCTTTGTTTTGTTATCAAACGTATAACCTCTACAACACACCAATCTACTTAACGTGAAAAATATAAATAAAAACAACATAAAAAAATTAAATGAAATAATAAAATCTAATCATAATTGAATATATTTTAAGTTGTGAAATTTTGCAAAAAATACAACACATAGCTCCACTGAAATTTTACAGGGTACAAAATATATATGATTTTTATTACGCCTTTGAAGAATTTTAAGATGTAGAGATCTGAAATGGTTATAAACCTTTTGTGGTTTTTACTACTTAACAATGCTAGACATACCCGGCACATTTTCCTCGTTCTTCTAATGTGACCTGCAAAAATGAAAAAATAAATACTCCTAAGGTAAAAAACATTTTTTTTTATATCTAACAAATATAAATGAAATATAATGATGTTTAAGCTGTACAATGCCCTTTTCCTTCCTTTTTCCTGTAATATAAAAACCGAAATCAAACTGTAAAATTAAGCTCTTAATAACTCTATAAAGTAGTTTAACCTTTCCTTTTTTCCATGTGAAATGAGTATGTAAAGTCCTGTTTCAACACATCTAAGCTGATTTCAAAGTCACAGGTACATTTACTGAGTATGCTTGTTAAGAAACATATTCTAGGAGTAATGTTTTAAAATATTTCTTTAAATTTTTGAATTTAAAGGGACATGTCTAATCGAATCTAAAATAAACTTTTTATGAAATAATATTCTTTGGACTAACATATATTAGTGTATCAACATATGTTAAAAAACATGACACGGACCCTGTTTACATAACAAAGGTTTGGAGCGCTAAATATGTCTCGTGTCTTGACAACTGAAGTTTGAAATTTTAATGATCATTAAAAAGACCTTACTTATAAATATACTGAAAGGAAAAAGAAACGCAGGGTAAACTTTTGAGGTGAATTAAATTTGTTTTTCTGGGAATAATTTTTAGTTTTCGAATCTACCTTTTAAAATCATCTTTCAAAAAGATATAACCAAATTCTCATATGATTTTGTCTCATTATTCATAAGTAATTGAAGCTCATATGATGATACCCCCAAAAGTGAAAATCCAAAACTCTCATTATCTTCAATGTCTATCTTGTGCATTTGTAAGAGTCCTATTTTTCCTTTGCATTGAATTTCATCAGAGTGTTTATCTTTCAAATCCTGGCTTTATTTAGCATGGGTAACCACGCAAAAAATAAGTGAAACGGCGTGCGCATGCGCCAGTGAGAGGAATACAACGGTAAATTGAATGGCTCAAAAAACCAAATTGCAGAATTGTTTTCTTTCAAATTTCGTATGAATGTAATGATTATAATCACCTACTCTATAATTGGCTGTTTTTGTGGTAGTGAGGTGGTGATTTAAGAATTGGCAGGACGAATAACCCGCACGTAACATGACTCTGTTTCGCGTTACCGTCATCGTCACGGTTGATTGAACAACACTCCAGACCCTCTCTGACAACGGCTAAAACGTTTTATAGGGGAAAATTTTTAAGAGACTGCTTAATAAACCGCTGTTGCCCTTTTCATTAATTAGGCGATTCGAAAACAAGACCCCATTGAACTTCCGTAAACTGTGCAAAGATTACAATAAATTCATAATGTCTCTTAATATTGAAAAACGATGTGCATACCTCATATGCATCAAATAATGCAACAAGATTGGTTGACAAATTCGTCGTTATCAAATTGCACGTGTTTTAGGCTTTTTAGCGTTTTCCCTACGTGACGTCATAAATTTTACGGTTGAGTAATTCTGAATACTGATTTTGATGCACAGTAACTAAATTTCCCTTCTGACCAATTTTCGTAATTTTCGGTCATGTGGTAAATTTTTTATCGAAAATTATGCTACCCTGCGTTTCTTTTTCCTTTCAGTATATTTGTAAAAATGAAAAAAGAAGATAAATTTGCAAATTTTTAGCTGAAACTGAGTCCATATCCCTTAAAAAAACAAAACACGTAACTTTCGCAAAAGATAGCGAAATCAATTAAAATGATAAAGATACCTATTATATTACATGTAACGGAATAGGAAAGTATTGATGCTTTCCGCTCAATTAAGCTTTTTTTTACATGAAGTGTACCTGGAAAAAAATTGAGGAAAAAATACAAGGCGTTTCGATTATGTCCTTTTAAACAGGATGTAAGGTTAAACTCCAATATTAACATATGGGATCATACACGTCAGTTGTTTGGTTGAACAAAACGAGCGGGGTTTAGAGGAAACGTGTTTTGTATCTCATCGGCCTTGAATGTTGCATGTCATTAAACCCTTAACGTAACAATGAAACCACTTCATTTATAATTAAATATCTAAATAATTTTTCGTATATGTATGCTGGTAAAATTGCTCCTAAACATTAATACATTTGAATACAATGTTTCTAAAGACACAATTCAAAAATACATGTACATGAGTAACTGACATTATTCCAAAGTTCCAAAAAGCCTGTTCACTCTGATCCTGGATTATCTTGCAAGAAAAGTCATTAGACTTTAAAACGTTTAAAGCATTTAAAGGTGCTTAGACACAGATTTGAAGTTAAATATTTTCTCGAATTTTCTGCATAGTATTGTAACGTTTCCGCCTGTTCCAGCTGGTTTGTTACAATGAAAATATATTATTGTGGGTCTCCTGTTTCTGAATTTTACCCTTCAACTCTAAATGAAAAGTCAGGTTGTAAATTTATGAAATTTATTATGGTGAAAACAATGAATAACAAAATAACAATAAAATAATTGGCAATTAGGCAATAATAAATTAGGGGTTCTCCGACAATAAAAAGTTATCTGGATAAAATGGGCTACCCGGAAATAAAAGGGTATCCGGATCAAATGGGTCACCCGGATGAATTTATAAACAATGAATCAATTGGGTATGGGTCTACCGGGGACTGGAAAAGGTATCCGGGTCTAACGAGTTAGCCGGATGAATTTATAAACAATAAATCAATTGGGTATGGATCTACCAGGCGGTTACCAGATATTGGTAATGGGTTAATTTACTCAATATGGGGGCATCAGATTTTACCCACTTCTGGGGAGTTGGGATTCTTAGAGCTGGTCAGATGTTGATGAGTCTGACCAACGTCCCAGACTGAAGAAAAAGTCCAAAGTGCCTTCTTTATATACCTTTTCATCACTAGGGCCGAATTAGTTCACGTGCGAATAACCAGCGGGCTAGTGCCCCCGCTGCCCCCCCCCCCCCCGTGACTACGCCTATGCTTTATCATTACATTTACTTACATTTCAAATTATAAGAATTAGATCAATTAAGGAGAAAATGACTTGAACTATTTGTGGCGGATGTTTATGCATGTTTTCTGTTGAATATCGTCGAAATAAACTCGTCGACACAGTAGCCTCGCTTTCGACTCTATATAATAATGCATGTTAAATTCGTGATGACCAAGGGAGATTGAACATATTTCAACTCCCAAAAAATTACTTACCAGAAAGCTACAGTACCACCCATTGAAAAATCTGTGTATTATATATTGTGCACAAAAAGTGGGCTGTTTCTTGATTTATTTCTGCAAGTTTTTCAACTCAAAACAGTACTAACCGTGTATTCTTCCTAACACAATCTTTTACAGTTTGCACAACAAAACATTAAGATTTTTCGTACAATTGTTGATCAAATAGCCCTCCTGGTCCTGATCATCGAAAATTTCATCTATTTATAATGCCATTTTTGGTTTGCATGATAATTTGGTTTAAAAGCACTTCGTGCAGATGTCAACTACGAGAGTACTTTAAAGAGGAGTAAGGAATTTTTTTGAATCCTTCTTTTTCGCGATTGAGGTAAAAATTTGGAAAAATTAATCTAGAACTAAGCGCACTTTTTGTGTGCAATAAAAATTCACTTTATACAATGGGAGGCACTGTGGCTCTCCAATCTGTCAAAATGTGTTTTTTTTTCGGAGAGCTACAGTCTGTAGCTAATTTAAGCCATTACATGAAAAGGATAATTTAAAAAAAATATGAGTCTATCGTACTTTTCAAAATGTTAAGTGACTACAATCTCGGAAACGCAGCCCAGTTACTAGTTATGACTTGATATCTAATCAAGTCCTTATATAGGACTATGTTTCAGCCAACTGGCACAAAACTGTCAATTATCGTTCAAAATAGTTTAACCATAAACGATATGTGCCGACAATAAATAAAATTTCTTTGACTTGACTTGTGTTCAAATTTGAAACACAGACTGCTTTTTAAAGACGAGCTATATATAAATGATCATCATGTGTTCATATTTAAAAACACAAGCTGCTTTTTTTTTTTAAATTTGAGGATATATCCTGAAATAGCCCAGTGTAATTTGTACATGTATTGTGTTCCTTAGTCATTCTATCATCAAAGGACAACTGCCACATACTTCAGTTTTAATCATGTCATTTTGATAATTGCATTATATATTATAATTATATATATTATAGAAGTTCATGAGAGAAGTCTGTCTGCCTTAACATCAGAAGGAATCAATGAAGCAGAAGCCAAGTCTAGAGCAGTGCTCACCAATCATTTACTGGCTCAGTTGTTACCATCAACTTCCAATTACTTCTTAGATCAAACAACATCAGGAATCACTGATGTGTGTCCATGTGGGTGTGGAGAGAATATTCAACATGGAACTACATACATAGGTATACACTAGTGATGGAAATATTTTTTATGCCCCTTTTCAATTTTTTATAATAACTGGAGGGCATATTGCTTTGCTGCTGTCGGTCCGCTTTCAGTTTCTGTTCATTTTCTTTGCAGAGGTTGCACATATTAAAATGAATTTTGGTATACAGATTAATCATAAGGATATCTAGAACAAGTTCTGTTTTGGGTATGGTCGAGTCATTTTGGACAAAGTTATGCACCATGGACTAAGAAAATTTTCAATAATTTGCAGTTTTTGTTCATTTTCTTTACAGAGATTGCTCATTCTGAAATAAAACTTAGCTTGGTCATATTGTGTTTTTGGTATGATCGGGCAATTTTGGATAGAGTTATGCCCCTGGAAAAATTCCATTTGGGGGGAGCATAAGTCACAAATATCTTAATCATTTGAAAATTCTATATTCAAACTTACATGTAGAAATATAAATGTTACAAGATTGAAAAAAGGTACAAATGAAAATGTACGAAACTAAGACTCTACGAGCAAGCCCACCTATGAATAACTTAAGTTATGGTTCTTTAGATATTATTTTTATATCTTCTATTACTGTGGAGGTTTGCAAGGAAGAAGATTAAAAGATATCGGTTAAGAACTGTGAATGATAGTATTGTTCTCCGGCCTACCTTTTCGTCAATTTTCAAAAGTTAATATATTTTAAGGATTTTTAAGTATTTTATAGATCATTATATGGGTGTTCATAGAAATTAATAATAAGGGAAATAATAAGGGATAACCCAAAAATTTTAGTAAAACTTTTTTCACTATAGAAATTGATATAGAATATTTTATTTAAACATCTTCATCACATAATGTTGTCAACTTCGGCTGCACCTCGGTTGACAATGGTTTTAGGATGAAACTTTTCAATGTTATACTCAACTACATGCCTATTAACATGTATATATTAACATTTATCACTGTTTATGTTATCTTTTTGTTATCTTTTTGTAGTTGTTTTTGTAGCATTTTCTTGTTCTGGCCGAACAGGATTTAAATCATTTGAAATATTAGTTTTTTTTTTATTTATTTTATTTTATTTGTTTAGGAAATCCCCGTCTGTTCTATGGACCAGCTGACATCATTCTTTTCCAAGGCAGTAATAACATGTTCTTTAATTTGAAGTTGATAAGAGCAAGTGTGCCATTTTCTCTTGGAGGAAAACAACACCAGAAAACATGAAACACCTTCAAAATGTAGACAACAATATTTATGAAGAAAACGAATCTATGAAAAAAATTTTTGAAAGCCATGCATCTTTAAGCAATCTAAATCAAATATTCAAGCAAGCCATAGCATTTTCTGTATATAGGTTCAAGGAGATGACTTTAAATAAGGAATCAGTCTCACATGTATCAACAGGAATATCAATGATTCCAGTATATGCCATTAATGGAACTTCATATGACATTGTAATGTATGATACTCAAAACGATTTCTCACTAAAAATGGATGCTGATGGTGCAAAACTATTTCATGGTGGAAGATTAAAGGTCTCTGCCATTTTGGATTTATGGTTTGTGATTTACCATCAATTATTTTGTTCATTGGCCCCAGCTGAAGTTTTAGCAGATCTGAAAGGTACATGCGGACTTATTCCTCGTCTTGGTGAGAAAAGATTTACATCCATTGTGAAAACAACTGAGTGGGCCTGTTTGATAATTCCTCATGACAGGACTTCTCATTCTCAGTTGTATACTTTGTATAATTCCAGACCAGCTGGTGGACAATACCTTCAAGTGTGTTGAACTTAACATTTGTTTTCTTAATAATAATAATAATAAAAAAAGTTCATGTAATAAGCCAGTTATATTGTAAATATTTCACTTCATGTGTTTGAAAAATATGGCTAATTTTGATTAGGCTGGAGTACTTTCGGACATAGAGCTTCTTAGAAGTGCTGAAAACGTGCTGGCTTTTAGGTCACCTGAGTAAACTCTGAACCAATTTAAACCAAATTAGGAATTTAGCATCTAAAGGTGAAGGGGAACAAAAATTGTGAATTTCATGGTCCCTGCCTCCCTGGGGCCTGGGGGGTGGGGCAAAACCACTAAAATTAGTGCAATCTTTCAAAATCTTCTCTACTCCTTGACATCAAGCAGTCAAACTGTTAGTATGATTGTAATCAGCATTAAATCGTCTACATGTGCCAAAATTATGAAATTCATGGCCCCAGGGTCAGGGGTTCTAGTGCTAGGCTGGGGCTAAATAGGTTATATAGTGAAAATGCATTATTTCTTTGAAATATTTCTTTTCTGTTCCTGGGCATTAAATAAACCAACCAAGTGCATAGTTGAGTTGAAAATGACTGCCTCTTCCAAAATTGTGAATTTAATGACCCCAGGGTCAGGGGTTCTAGTCCTAGGGCGGGCCATATATATTATTATAGTGAGAGTGCAATAATTCTTTGAAATTCTTCTTTTCTGTTTGTGGGCATTAAATAAACTAACCAAGTGCATAGTTATGTTGAATAAGGCTGCCTCTTTTGAAATTGTGAATATAATGGCCCCAGGGTCTGGGGTTCTAGTGGCACGGTGGGGCTATATAGATTTTATAGTGAAAGTGCAATAATTCTTTGATATTGTTCTTTTCTGCTCCTGGGCATTAAATAAACTAATCAAGTGCATAGTTATGTTGAATAAGGCTGCCTCTTCTTAAATTGTGAATCTAATGGCCCAAGGGTCAGGGGTTCTAGTGGCAGAGCGGGGCTATATAGATTATATAGTGAAAATGAATTATTTCTTTGAAAAATCTTCTTAATTCTTTGCTCCTGAGTATTAAATAAACAAACCAAGTACATAATTATGTTGAATAAGGCTACCTCTTCCAAAAGTGCGAATTTCATGACCCCTGGGTTGGGTGTTCTGGTGTTAGGGTGGGGCTCTATTGTTTATATAGTGAAAATGCATAAACTCTTTGAAAATCTTCTTTTCTGCATCTGGGTATTAAACCAATGAACTATGTACATAGTTATGAGGAGGAAGGATGCCTCTTTGAGATTTGTGAATTTCAGGGTCCCCTGGGTCAGGGCTTATTGTGTTAGAGCGGGGCTCTAATGTTTATATAGTGAAAATGCACAAATTCTTTGAAAATCTTTTCCTTGGATCCTGGGTATTATGGCAATAATCTTAGTATATATTAATGACAAAGAACACTGCTTCTTCCAGAAATGCTTAATTTCCTGGCTCCTGGGACAGAGGTATTCGGGGGGGGGGGTCTGAAAATTATTTAATGCTTTAAAATCTGCACTTTGGTATTAATCAACAACATGATGAAATAAAATGTTCAAAAAAATTGAAAGATGTGGCCTCAGGGTCAGTGGTTCCTGTGGGATGGGGTGCACAACTGATAATGATCAACTGGAAATGGATTTTCCCTTGTTACTGTGTCATCTACATATACCTCTACTAACCAGAGTAAGCATGCTGAGTGCATAATTATGATAAGAAATAGTGCCTCTTTCAAAATTGTGAATTTTATGGCTTCTAGATTAAAACAAGAATCAACTTTAATTGTTGGAAAGTTGTTGCATGATACTCAGGTGACCTATAAGGCCCATTGGCCTCTTGTTTGTTATCCTTTCTTTTTCAAATATGATTTTGTGAACTGCCCCGGGGCGAGAAAAATCTTGCAGGGAAGTCATGGGCAGTATCTTTGGGCAGGTCTCAGGACATTTAAATTACATGTACTACGGAGAAATCTTTTCAAGAATTAAAGGTAAATAACGAACAGTATTCAAACTGAAAAGCAATTAAACAATTTAAATTTTGAAGCTGAAAAACATTGACCTCTGTAACATCAGAGGTGAAATCAGGTGTCATAGCGGAGTGAGCATCCCCTGCTGACCGGTCACACTCACCATGTGCTCTTTGTTTTGATCTGGAAATAAATCCATTGACAATTAAGTGTGTAAATAATGGCCTAATAATTACATGTAGCATGAAAAACATCAGTCATGATTTGACTTATGATAGATTGTATTTGCTGACATGTTCATTATATCAACATGATGACTTGAATTTCATAGTACTTGAGGGTGCCTCCATATCAATATAGCATAGACTTTTCAGTTCTTGAGAAAAAGGTTTTCTTCATATATCTGTATATTTTACTTTGTAAAAAAATTGATCCCCTCTTTACCCCTGGCCCCTCCTTATCCCAAGGGGTTATAATTTGAACAAATTGAAATCTTCTGTATATGAGGATGCTTACATGTCAATATGACTAAACATAGCCTTTCTGTTTGTGATGAGAATTTTTTCTCGATTTTCTAGATGCGTCCATATAAATATGATCATTCTTGCCTTTGCTATTAGTGAGATGATTTTTCAAGAATTCCCCTAGAAATTTGTATATAAAACTTTGATGATCCACCGTCATTGCCCCACTCTAACTTTTGGATAATGATTTGAACAAATTTTGGTCGGCCATTGTGGCCCCGCTCTACCCCTGGGGGGTCATGATTTGAACAAACTTGAATCTAAACTACCTGAAGATGCTTACATCTCAATATCACTTATCATGGCTTGGTTCATCCTGAGAAAAGGATTTTTAAAGCTTTATATTTATATCTCTATCTGAAACTTTGATCCATAATTGTTTTTCCACCCTACCCTGCGACTCAGGTGAGCCAAAACTATATAAAATAGATAAAGCTTTAGATTTTTCTTTTCAAGAACCACTGGGCCATAAAAGTTTAAACCTGTGTGGAAACATCTCAGTCTAGTGCAGATTCAAAATTGTTTGAATCATGACCACAGGTGGGGCGAAGCGCAGGGCCTCGATAGGGAATCCAAGATTTACATTAAAATATAAAGGAAAAATGTTCACAAGTACTACTTAGCCAATAAGCTTATATTTAAAAGCATCCGGGTTAGTGCATATTCTAAATTGTACAAGTCCTGGCCCCCTGGAGAAGAGCAAGGATACAATGGGGAATCTCAGGTTTTACATTGATATATGTTGGAAATATCTTTAAAATCTTCAAGAACCACTGGGCCAGAATTCTGAAAATTATGTGATAGCATCCTTAGGGGTGTAGATTCTGTCTTTTTATATTACGATCCCCAGGGGTTGGGGGGGCATACAGGTATTACAAGGGGGAAACATCGTGAACATTACGCTCAAAGATACTCAGGTTAGCATTGTGACACAGGGACATCTTGTTTAAACACCCTTTAGCAATTGCAAAACAAAACATGGATTTCAAATTCATGGACAGTCAACAGTATGTTCGGTAATGAATTAAATGTTTTGAATTTTTACGAATGGTTGTTTTGAGAAATGGCTAACCTAAATATTTTTTTTTCGATGAAGATTCATGATATGAAATTTTACTAAGTATAGCTGGAATGTGCATACCACTCGAGGAAAAACAATAGTTACTAAAATACAATTGAGAAAGAAGTTTTAATTATTCTTTTATTTCCATCTTGAATAAACATCAAAGATGTAGACAAGTAAAATCTGATTACTTGAAATGACCATTTAAATCATTTTATTAGAGCTTTGATCAGAAAGCCAGAAAAGACGTTATAAGAACCATGGTCGTGGAGCGATGCTGACTGTGGTTTGTCATTCTGGACCCAGATCTTGTCCCCTTTATTGAGTAGCAGAAGGAGGGTTTGTCCGGCTTGAGGATACGTCTTTGACGCAGAGTAGAGTTTCGATACCTTTCCGCCGTTTTTGACCACTCTCAAAAGCACTTCGTTGTTATAGTGAGCCATAAGACTGCAAGAGATGCTGTAGAGCCCGTCATACGGAGCCGTGAATATTCAGGTCTGTGAATCATAGCTGTTGCCTAAATTCGTCATAACTGCGTTATATTTGATAATGTCGTGACTGCCGAATGTCACATTCCTTGGAGACCTTTGCAGTAAATGCCACTAGTTCGTCTCCGTATACTGTAACATTAAATATAAAGTCTATTTATAATTGTTGCATTTTATGATCGACCATAAAGACTCAGTAAAAGTCTTAGTATACACAGTTTTTCATACATATACTTTATAAACTATAATTGTAAAATCAGTACTATTTTTTGTTTTACAGTTATCTCCATTTTAAGAAAGATCAAATCGACATGCATGCATGTCAGATTCTATTAATAGTAACATAACTCCATAATTATGCTGTTATATACTAAATCACGTGATCATGCAAGTTTAAACCAATCAGATAACTTTGAATAAATAATGAAAATGATATATAGTACATAATATTTACTCACTTGTCCATGGAGTTGTTCCTACAAATAAGTTCAGCACCTAAATCAGACTAAATACGATGCCGTTGGTCGTCATTATTTTCCGTAAATGGGTCTGCAAGAAAACGAGAAGATTTATTAATTGTCTTCTTGTTTATTTTTGAGTCAAAAATCTTAGAGATTCCTCAATGAAGTAGATTAAGAACGATTTCTTCAAGTAATGAAAAAAACTGAGATTTGTTCGGATCCTAATTTATCGCACCAAAACTAATGGAACTGTGACACTATATATCTATAATAAACAGAACAGTTTTGGAATTTTTCTACTCACCAATTTTTGTTGAAAATTATTTTGATCCAAAATATTGAATATTGCTTGCTACAAAATTTGCAGCCATAGATAAAATTAATACGGATATTTTATAGAACATTGTATTATAATTTAGAAAACAGATAAATTCTCCACAAGTAAAACAAAATAGAATGAGCGATCATTTAATTAAGAATAGATTTTATATTGAACATAGATAGAAGAGGGTCAGGGTAATGGAAACCCTGGGCGAATTA